GGGCGGCTGAGCTGCACCATGCACTCGTGGTGGTCACCGCCAGGGGCCTGTCCTGGGCTGTGCCCCACCCTTTCCTGCCACCTCCTGTAGAAGTGTCTTCCGTTAAATGGCACATTAAGGAGGTTATTGACCTAATGCAAGCACATCTGTTTTCTGTTTCTTGGGGGAGGGGGGCCTCCCCGATGGTGCAGCGGGTTGACCCTAGTGCTATGAAGCTGTCCGCAGCCTCTGCAGCACGGGTTCGATCCCCAGCAGCCAGGGAGATACCCACATGGCGCAGCAGACCTCTCCTTTCTTGCCCGCTGCTCCCCTCAGTAGTGTATGTCATCAGTCTGCCTGTTCTGCTCCCCATACTGTCTCTGGTGAATCCTCTCACCCTCCCGTACATCTGACCTGTACCCCGCTTTTTGTATGTGTAAATAAATAAATCTCAAAAAAAAATCTGTTTTGTAATTAACATACCTGCTTCAGTTATAACTCGGATGTATCCTATCATATTATTTTAGTTTTTTGCTTATATGTTCCTGCTTCCTCACCCTATTTTTACTGTCAGTGAAGCTTTTCCTCCTGGTTCCTGATTTCCCAGCGTCGAGCATCACGGAGGTCCTCAGGTGCTCTCACGACAGTGCTCACACTCCTGCATCAGTCTCCATCATGAAGGCACCTCTAAGAGCCACCCAGGGGAAGGCCAGTCATGACACACCACCCTTCAGATAACCCTGACCTGTGCCTCTTTTCACCCCAACACACCCTCACCAGGCAGCTCCTTCTGAAATGAGCTAGGCTTTCTGCTGCAGAAAATGCAGTTCCACCACATCCCTTCTGCTGGGGGTCCTTTCCAGGCCACTGCCTCACATTCCCGGACCCCATCAAACACCGGTGTCGTCATACCTGCTGCCGGGCTCATCACCCCAGAGACACACATAACCCGAGTCAGATCGCTTGGGGAGCCAGTGAGAAGCCTCCTCTGCCGGCTGCTTAAGTCCCCAGAGCTCCATCCCGCAGCACTGCCCCTGCCAGGGCGCCCTCTGGCCATGCCCGCCCTACCCTGTGGCCACGCTGCTGCACTGGCTGAGCACTGAGCCCTTGGGTCCTAGCACCAGCCCTCCCCGGAGGGCAGGGCAGCCCTGCAGAGAGAGACCCGCCCTCCTCCCTAGTCCTGAGGCTCCGCCTGTCCTCAGTGCCCGAGTCACAGCCACACTCTCCTTTCTGTGCCAGGGCCCTGTTTCTTCTGCACGCACTTCGGTGTGAATGTTCTCTCTGCCCTTGGAATTCAAAACTGTCACCGTGCTGTGCCTAAGGTTGGGCCGCATTCACCTGGCCGGTCCCCCGGCGCGGCCTCCTGGCGCGGCTCCATGGAGGCTGCTCGGCCGGGGCCCTCCAGGCCGCTCCCCCTCACCTCTCTCTTCCAGAATGAGGCCCCCAGCGCCCAGGAGAGCAGCCGGGCCTGCAAGTCTCCCCTCCTCCCCCATAAACTCCTTTTCACTTGTATTTATGTCCATTTTGCTAGCAAATTAATTTGGCTTCCCGCAGGGTCCCTGCCGACATTTCCATCTCTGCCCGGGAGACTCTGCCCTTTCCGACAATATTTTTTTTTGGCTTTTATTTTCAATGTTCCCTTTTTTCAAAGTCGCTTTTGTTCGACAGACGCAGCCTCGCCGTGGTCGGGCTGAAACGTCCCCAGGCTGCCGCCCCTCTCCCGCTGGGGCCCCGCCAGCCCGACACCCTGGTCCTGGCCACGTGCGGGCGGCACCTCCCTTGCGCCAGGACGGCCCCTCGGGGCCACCGCACCTCAGCCCCAGGTGCCCACATTCAAGTGCAAAAGGGGGTTTTTCGTGGATTTTCCAGGGCAGGGGGTGATCGCCCCGCTTACGCGACAGGGTAGAAGGCTGAGGAAGAAAACACGATCAAAAGCCAAAAGCAACCACCAACACTTCAGCCGTGGTCAGGGCCTCACCCCGAATCCATTCTCAGGGAGGGGCCGCTGCTCAGATGCCCCACAGGCCGGGTGTGCACAGCGGGAACAGCCAGAGGCGCTCCTCCTGCCGCACAGCCCTGGGCAGCGAGACTCAGCGCCCGGGCACCGGGAGCCTCGCGGGGCTGGAGTCAGAGCAAGCGCCGGAGCCGCTGCGCGCAGGGGTCAGGGGTGCGAGGGTCTCACTGACCCTCCCTCACACGCCGGGTTCACTCGGGGGCGGGGTTCTCTGTGAAAAAGCCTAAAACTGAATGGAAACTATCTGAGGCTTTTTAAAAGATGCAAGATCAATGCCTCGTGTGCAAACAGCAGCAGCTCCAACTTAATTCCAGATGCAAATTTCCTGATCAATAGACCCGACGGGCCACAGAGAGCCGACTCCCCCGGCTTCTGAGCAAGGGGTGAGTGCAGTGGACCCAAGTCACTTATTTGACGTTGTCACTGCAGCAGGTGGTGTCCCCAGCAACAGGCCGCGGGGTTCCTCGTGCGATGAGCTGCCGCGCGATGCCTGACCAGCCTCCGCGGCCGCGCGACCATCTCCCCAGATCTCGGCGCGTCCAAGGCTCCTGTTCGCAGAGGAAGCCTCGGCGGCCCCTCACGCCCCTCCACGAGCGACTGGAGCTTATTTGGGAAACACGCACGTCTCTGGCACAGGGCTCCGGGCCCCTGGGGAGCTCCTGGTCACGGGAGCCTCTTCGGTTCTGCCAGGCAGCTCCGGTGGGCTCCTGAGGCCAGGGAGTCCCCAGAAAGGCTAAGCCCCGTCAGAAACATCACACTCAGCCGCACGCCCACCCTCCGGGTGGCGGGGTACGGTGCTCTCTGCGCCCGATGCTGCGGCTCACGCGCTCCTCGGCAAGCAGGGAAACCATCTCCCTAGGGAGCAGGCCGGGCCCTCGCTCAGGCACTCCCTGGCGGTCTAGTCCCTGGGAGCCGGCCAGGCACGCACGGCCCTGCCTTCCTCTGCAGCGCCCCCCTCCACTCCCCAACCCCACCCCTCTATCCCCCCCACTCCCCCACACCTGCCCGAGACCGCCACTGTCCACCCCCCAGAGCACCGGTGTCCCCTGCACCCGGCGCCTGCCCCCCAGCATCCTCACCCAAAGCTTCCACCCCTGTGCCCTGCCGGGGCCAGCGCCCCTCAGGCCACGGGGCGGGCTCAGGCCCTCGCGCACAGCAGGGGCTGGAAGTAGCGTGGGCATGAGGCACCAGACTCGAGGTGCACCCCCCCAGAGCTGAAGCGCCCTCGGGGTGCGGGGATGACCCTGATCAGGTGGCATAGGGCTCCTGGTGCCAGGCATCGGGCCAACCCCGCCAGAAGCTGCCATCGCAGCTGCCAGGTGCGTCTGCGTTGAAAACTCGTGATGCGGGGCCAGAAGAGCCGCTCCCCCTGCCTGAAGTCCCAGGACCAGCACCGGGCTGTGGCCAGCGGACCCCATTCGGGCTGCGGGCGGCGCGCCCTCCGGTGACCGTGGGCAGGAGGCCCTGCCTGGCTCACGATGCCCTTTTCAACAAAATGGTTTCCGACCAGAGACGGCCCTGCTCGCTGGCTCTTCCCCGTAACCCCGCGGGGGACAGGCCAACGCCACCCAAGGGGAGCGCCACCGAGCCAGGCTCTGGAGCTGTGCGGGTCGCGCCTCACCTCCCATGGCCGGGCTCTCCCGTTGGCTCGTTGGCTCCTCAGCCCGGGGCGCCTCCTCCACCAGGAGAGGCAGCTGCACTGCCCGCCAGGCCTCCCCGCGGCAGCCCTGCACACCCCGGCGCCCACCTCGTCCCAGCTGTGCTCAGGGCTCTGCGCCAGCCCCAGGCCCCCAGGCGCCCCTGGGCACTGTCCTTCCCTCGGCCGCAATCACAGCTCCCCGCACCCCACGGCCAGAACCTTCCCGCCCAGCCCCGTCTCCCGGGGCCGCCGGGCTTCCCACCTGGAGAATCCCGGGCAGTGCGGCCGCAGGTGGTGCCAGCCGGCCTGGGCAGGTCGCCGGGATCTGGGCAAGGGGAGTCCCCAGCCCTCAGGCTGCCAGGCCCGGACGACCTGCCCGCGGCCTCTGCCAAGCGCGCGCGGGGCCGGAGCCGCCCACCCGGACAATCTTCACTCTCCCGGGCTCCGGCCGGTCTCCGCCGCGCTCCCCTGGCCCTGCTCTCCGTGGCCCGGGGTCGGGGCGGCTCTCCACAAGCCAGGTCAGGGCGGCTCTCCACAGGCCGGGTCAGGGCGGCTCTCCACAGGCCGGGTCAGGGCAGCTCTCGGGGCCCGGGGGTCAGGGCGGCTCTCCACAGGCCGGGTCAGGGCGGCTCTCGGGGCCCGGGGGTCAGGGCGGCTCTCGGGGCCCGGGGGTCAGGGCGGCTCTCCACAGGCGGGGGTCAGGGCGGCTCTCGGGGCCGGGGGTCAGGGCGGCTCTCCACAAGCCGGGTCAGGGCGGCTCTCCACAGGCCGGGGGTCAGGGCGGCTCTCCACAGGCCGGGTCAGGGCGGCTCTCCACAGGCCGGGGGTCAGGGCGGCTCTCCACAGGCCGGGTCAGGGCGGCTCTCCACAGGCCGGGGGTCAGGGCGGCTCTCCACAGGCCGGGTCAGGGCGGCTCTCCACAGGCCGGGTCAGGGCGGCTCTCCACAGGCCGGGGGTCAGGGCGGCTCTCGGGGCCCGGGGGTCAGGGCGGCTCTCCACAGGCCGGGGGTCAGGGCGGCTCTCGGGGCCGGGGGTCAGGGCGGCTCTCCACAGGCCGGGTCAGGGCGGCTCTCCACAGGCCGGGGGTCAGGGCGGCTCTCGGGGCCGGGGTCAGGGCGGCTCTCCACAGGCCGGGTCAGGGCGGCTCTCCACAGGCCGGGTCAGGGCGGCTCTCTGTGGGCCTCACTGGTCAGGGCCGCTCGCCACAGGCCGCTCCAGGAGGCGGGGGCGGGGGCGGGGAATCTCTCCAAACTGGCCCGCGCAGACCCCGGGCCCCGCCGCCCACAGGCCCGCGGAGGACGGGCGGCGCGGGGTGGGGTGGGGGGGAGGGGCGGGAGGCCGCGGCTCCAGAACTTGGGGCGCACTCACCCTCGGCCGCCGTCTCCAGGACTCCAGGTGGCGGCACAGGCCGGGTCCAGCCCAGCCCGCGCAGTAGGCCACGGGGTCCCGCCCTGAGGCGGCGCGCGGCGTGACCCCGGCGTGACCCCGCCTGACCCCGCGTGACCGCAGCCCGGCCGAGCGGCTGGAACGGCGCACGCCAGCGTCTGGCGAGCAGCCGCCCGGAAGCGCGTTCCTGGCCCGGCACAGCCGCCGCCGCAGCTCCCGCGCCCAGGCCCCCGGGGACCGGACAGGCCTTTCCCGCAGCGCGCGTCCCGGCCGGCCTCGGGCTCGGGGGCGTCCAGGGCCGGCCTTGGGCCCGGGCGTGTCCAGGGCCGGGCGTGTCCAGGGCCGGCGTGTCCAGGGCCAGCCCCGGGCTGTGCGTGTCCAGGGCCGGGTGTGTCCAGGGCCGGCGTGTCCAGGGCCAGCCCCGGGCTGTGCGTGTCCAGGGCCGGGTGTGTCCAGGGCCGGGCGTGTCCAGGGCCGGCGTGTCCAGGGCCGGGTGTGTCCAGGGCCGGGCGTGTCCAGGGCCGGCGTGTCCAGGGCCAGCCCGGGCTGTGCGTGTCCAGGGCCGGGTGTGTCCAGGGCCGGGCGTGTCCAGGGCCGGCGTGTCCAGGGCCGGCGTGTCCAGGGCCGGCGTGTCCAGGGCCGGGTGTGTCCAGGGCCGGCGTGTCCAGGGCCAGCCCCGGGCTGTGCGTGTCCAGGGCCGGGTGTGTCCAGGGCCGGGTGTGTCCAGGGCCGGCGTGTCCAGGGCCAGCCCCGGGCTGTGCGTGTCCAGGGCCGGGTGTGTCCAGGGCCGGCGTGTCCAGGGCCAGCCCCGGGCTGTGCGTGTCCAGGGCCGGGCGTGTCCAGGGCCGGCGTGTCCAGGGCCGGGTGTGTCCAGGGCCGGCGTGTCCAGGGCCAGCCCGGGCTGTGCGTGTCCAGGGCCGGCGTGTCCAGGGCCGGGCGTGTCCAGAGCCGGCGTGTCCAGGGCCGGGCGTGTCCAGGGCCGGCCCGGGCCCGGGCGGCCGAGTGGCGGCGGCCACCGCGCCCCTCCCTCTCCGCCTGGGCGCCGCGTCTGCCGCACACCCCGCGAGGCTTTGCGGGCGCAGCCCCGCCACCCCAGCGCAGGCCGCTCCGGGGTCCGCCCTCGAACCGGAGCGACCTCCCCGCAGTCCTGGCCCGCGTCTCCCTGGGCCGGGGCGCCACGCCCCAGAGCTGGCCCGCACCGCGCCCAGCGCAAGCCCGGGGGTCCATCCTGCGGGTTTCGGAGGAGGCGGGGGGCGCCGGTCCCCAGGCGAAGGCGCGGCCAGAGGGGACCAGCGGCCGCAGGCCCCGGGGGCAGCACCAGGAGACCCGGATCCGGCGCTGGCCGCGAGGGGTCAGGGGCTCAGGGCAGGTGGAGGCCGACAGGAGCCGGGGAGGGGACTCTCCAGGGCAGGGATGCAGGAGGGCAGGCAGGGTGGACGCTGGGGTGGGCGAGACAGGCAGGGCTGCCGAGCAGAGCACAAGGGGGGGGGGCAGCGAGGGCCGTGGGGGCGCAGACAGGGACACCCGGCAGGCCACCCACGAGGGCCAGGAGGGCAGGGCTGGGCGGGACTCAGACGACCACACATGCAGGCCACGGGACACAGAGTTACCACAAGAGGTTCTGCTTTGACCTTTGTTTACTTGTTTGTACAGGTTTTTAATTTTAGCTCAAGATATAAAAACAGTTAAAATCACAGCACCAAAATAAGTGTGGACAGCAGGACGCACAAAGACGGGGGCGATTCCTCTGTGCCACCCACAGGAGGTCCCCGGACAGGAGCCCTCACGGAAAGGGGCGTTCCCAGAGTGTTCAGGAGCTGCCAGGAGGGACCACGCCCAGGCGTGAGGGACGAGTTAGCAGCCCAGGTATGGGGGGGCTAGTAACCCAGGCTTGTGGAACCCGGAGCCCACGTGTGCAGGACCAGGTAGCAGCCCAGGTGTGGGGGCTAGTTACCCAGGTGTGCAGACTGGTGAACACAGCCCTTGTTCCTGCCATCCTGAACCTGGACGACACACAAAGCACGTTAGGGTGAGGGAGCCAGGCACGGATCTTCTGGGTCAGAACCAGCACTTTTTTGCAAATGGGGTAAAATACAAAACACCAGGGAACAGGAGCTGTGGGGTGAGAGGACGATGGCAGCACACCTGGGGGAGCTCAAATGCTGTCCCAAATTAGCACCAATGTAAGGAAACAGACGAACGGTGAGGGAATGCCAACTGACGAGGGCTACCAATGTTTTGTGAAATATCAGTTTCATATATTTATTCCTATAGGTATATTTACATGGGGCCACAGCAAAATGTGTCTGAAATCTGTAGTACTCACCCCAAAAGCCTTGAACAACCCATAGACAGCGCTCAGCAGACCACGGGGGAAAATAAATCTTAGTTCTTACAATTCGAACAGCCCTGAGTGTAGCTTTTGCATGAGTTCTGAATTCACACACTAATCTTGTTTTCTCCAAATCATAGTAAGTGAAACCTGCAATGAATATGAACACATGGTAAAGTCTCTGACCCCAAGACACCCCTCAATGTAGCTGTTACCATTTGTTATTAAGGAAGTAAACGTCACACCTAAGGTGACCTGTTGTGACTCTGCACTTTCTTAAATCAGTCCATTATCAAAACGCTCAATAAGAGGATTCAAACTTTCAAACCCTTACATGAAGATTTCATGCGTTAGAAGATGGACAAGAATGTTTCTCGCGTGCTAACTCAGCGTCCTGGCTGCGTGTCCGGCCCACGCTGGCTGCACAGCCTCGGTGAGACTGCTTAAATGGAGCTTTTAAACGGGGAATGTCCGCGTGGCGAAGGGACAGAGCTGCTGTGACCGTCGGTGTGGAAGGCGCAGGAGGAGAAGCTGTGGGCCACACGTGAGCCGCTGGGCCAAGCTCCAGGAAGCACTGACCATCAGACCCCAGCAGCATTTCACGGGGATGCTTGGCACGACTCGTTTATGCAAAAAGCCAACTGTTGCTTCAGCCAGTTTCCTAACAAAGTGAGTGCAAAGCCCATAAATGGCAAAGCCGGTGTTGGAGGGCGTTTTTATTACAATTCCTGCCCCCCCCCCCCCACCACACCTGCCTTTGCTGAAGGAGGCGCCTCTGGAACCTGGAAAGGCTCTGCTCACCTCTCACGCTCCAGCGGTCCCAGTGCCCGGGCCTCCAGCCTGGCCCCGAGGATGGATGAGGGCAGTGGGTTGGGGCAGGCACTGTGGCCAGCCAGCCCAGGACCACGGTACCGCCCACCCTTTCCTGGGTCAGATGGCACCAGAGCGGGGGCTTCGTGGAAGAGCTCCACTCACTTCTGCCTCCGTGTCCTTGGGGGCCTGAAACCCGCGATCCTGCAAGAGCCCACCTCCACACCAGGGAGCACAGAGACACGGCATTCAGCCTCTGGCAGGGCCGGGGTCCCAGCAGGGACCTCCACCCACGTGGTAGCGGCTGCCCAGGTGTGGCCGCCACCTCTTCTGCCAGGGCTGCACCAGGGATGCCTGTGCTGCCTGGGCCACCCAGCCTGCCTCCCGTGCCTCAAAGAGAAAGCTCTTTCTGCCCCGGGACTGGGCAGCACCTGTAAGGCAATCAGCAAGGGCAGTGCTCCCCAAAGCCAATCTTCTCTCTACACAACCCCCGTAAACCTCCCAACATAAAGAGTTACGTAAAATAGCACACAAACAGAATCGCCTGCAGGCAGCGACGCTCACTTTGAATAAAACGCCTAGCCCAAGTCACCCCCCCCACCACCACGTTCGTTTATAAAGAGTTAAACAGCAGCAGATTCCAGAGAAGCGTCCTCCTGACCTGGAGCGGGGCCCGGGGTGGGGGGTGGGGGGTTGGAGAAGCCCCTGCTGGCCTGGCCAGGCCCCGTTGCTGACCGCAACGCTTGTTTCATTTAGGGCGAGACCTACATCACGGGCTTTTTATGGGCCAGGCCGACACAGCCTTAAGTGGAGCGGTATGAAATGTGCCGGGTAACATATGAAACTGACATTTCCTGTCCATTTTAGACACAGCTGGATGACCTTAGTCTGAAAGAGCCATTTTAAGTGAGAGCCGGAGTTTCATTTTCTGACAGATGGGTGCCAGGGCTGAGAATTTATCTAGGTTATATCTGAACTCCAGCATGATCTACACAATTATTTTGATTCACTGGCTTTAGACCCTGTGAAAATATTTTTGCTCTCCCAGGTTCTAATTTGTTATGTCACAGATGTCCTACTTAAGAACTTTCTTCTGCATTTTAGCAATTCCATGAAGCAGAGTGACGTGCAGCTAGTCCTCCAAGCGGACTGCCCACACATTTCTACCTTTACCCATTTCTTGCTTATGGGCAAAACCAGTCCCTACAATTTGTTAATCCCTGCAGCTCACTAATAAAAAAGCAAGCAGACAGTCAATTCTGATGGGGAGTCTGACCACGAGCCCACACGAAGGACTGCTGGGCTCACACATCTGCAACATTCTAGGACTTTCCTTCACATTCACCAAGGAAGCAACATGGACTTCTAATTTTCTAAGAATTGTACTCTCAGAAATTATCACATCACTTCTCAAATTTGATTCTTTAAAATATGAAAAATACCTTAAACAAAGTGTTCACAGAAACAGCCCGAGTGCTGCTCCCCAAGCCCAGGCACCTGCACGCAGGGAGGGCGGTGGATCCACTGGCACAAAGACCAGGCCCCGGCCCCAAGGCGCGCCACGGCACTGATGGCCACGGCACACTCTGTCTCCCTGCTCAGCTTCTCGTTCTCAGGTTCCTTTCAGCGGTTTTCTCAGCCCTCACAAAGAGAAAACACAACACAAACCCGTCCAGTCAGAGGCAACGTGGGGGCGCACAGAGCTGACTTCCGGGTCTGTGCGGGCTGCAGGCTCAGCGCCATCCAGGAGCCGGGTGACGGCGTGCCCCTCTGGCGGTAACTAGAGCTGACCTAGGTGAGCTGCAGGTGAACTTGGGTTAACGGGAGGTAACTGGAGGCCAACTCCGGACACCTTCAGGACGGGAGTCCCCAGGGAC